GCCCCGGTGCGGGCCCTGGCTGCTGGCCCCGCCGTCACTTCCAGCACACGATGATGTTGGGGTCGTTCTCCAGGCGCTCATCCAGCTCCTTGTAACTCATGCCTGGGGGAAAGAAGAGGCAGTGGGGTGTCAGTGGGGTCCCCGGCCGCGGTGTCAGGGGGGTGGCCGTGGTCCCCCCAACTCCTCCCCCTGGCAGCGTGGGCTTAGAAGCCCAGTTCAGCCCAGAGTCCCATCTCCCTGCAGTTTGCAGGCTCCCAAAAGGGGCAACGAGACCCCCAAACCAGCACCCAGCCCTGGGCACGCAGGCAGCCCCCCACCTTCCACCGCCCCCAAGAGTCGCACGGAGGAGGCCAGGTCCTCACCAGTCTTGCAGCAGATCTCATCGTAGCTGTGGCAGCCTGTGTACAGCCGGGCTGGGTGGCTCCGCTCATCCCGGGCGACCTTGACGGGGTACTTCTGGAGCCGTCGGATAAGGCCCTTCATCAGGCCAAACTGGATGAGCCTCCTGGGGACGAGGAGGGAAGAGACTGGGACCACGACGCTGAGGCCTCAAATACCCCAGCTCCCCCTATTCCCTTCTGGTTCCACCACGCCACACCACCACCTCAGCTTCCCCACCTACAGATGCAGGGGTCGCATACTCCCTCCTCGCTCCCCCACACTCGCCCCGCCATCCCCGGTGTCACCGCCGCCCTCGGGGACCCAGCAGGAGGGTGCAGGATCTGACCTCTCGTCCACCCTCTGGAGCTGCAGGGTGTAGCGGGAGATGAGATCTCGCACTGTCGTGCCAGGGCTCAGCCCACAGTACAGCTGGAAGACGTCCCTGAGGCTGGCTCGCTTGTGCCCTGTGGGGACAAGTCACCAGTCAGCCGCTGTCTCCCTCTGCCTCTGCTGGCAGCCCATGGAGGGGTCACCGTACCTTGTTTGGTGACGTAGGACAGACACTCTTCCTGGAGACACTTGTCATCCACCAGGTCCTGGACCTTTGGCGTGGTGCAGTAGACATTGGAGTACTGGAGGGCAAGGGAAAACTAGCCTGGCTCAGCCACGGCTCTGAGACAGACCTGCCCCTCTCCAAACCCCGCTGTCCCCCCTCCACGGCCACCCCGATGGCGCAGCCGCTGCCCGAACCCTGCTCATGGCCCCACGCTCCATGGCCTGACCCACCTGGAGTATGGAGACGAGTGTGACGACCCCGTAGTACCTGCAGACGGACAGGGAAACATGAGAGACCCTCTCTGCCAGCACCCACCAGCACCCCTCCTGCACGTTGGCCAGGCCCCCTTCCACACACTCACAGCAAGTTTTGCACGGCAATGCGCACCAAGTTCAGCTCCACATCGGCTTCTGCGGAAATCTTCTGGACATGCCGAAAGCCGTCGATGTAGGGCAGGATCTAGGAGGGGAGGGGGCAAGAGCTAAGAGGGGAGAGAGCAGAGAGGCCCAAGGCATCACCTCCGAAGCCCAAGAAACCCCTGCACCTGGGAGCACGCTGGGATAGGCGGGCTCCATCCTCCTGTTGAGCGAGTGGGTTGCTTGCAGGCCCAAGCACAAAGACAAAGGGAGCACCAAACCGCGCTCGTTAATGCGGTGAACTCTGGGACAGACGGACTCCCCTCTGCCCCCAGGCAGGCTAGAAACAGATCCCGTTCAAACTGTACTGCCCCGGTCAAGCACACAGACCTGCTGTGTGGTGAGATCCCACTGGGAGTTGACGAAGTCGTCCTTGTCTTGGGTGAAGACGGGGACATCATACTCCTGCACGATGGGGGGATCCGGGCGCTGCTCGATCACCTTCAGGTGGATGGTGTTCGACTCATCTAGCCGGGGAAGGAGGAGCGCTCAAGTTCCACAGAAACCTCTGCTCCCTTGGGAGCTTGCAACCGTCAGCCCCAGGACACCACCATGCTGCGCAGAGGAAGGTTTGCGGCCCATAACCCCATCCCTCCTGGCCCTTTGAGCCACCCAGGGCAAGGCTGGCTCAGACACCCCCCAGCTCCAAGCGCAGACAGGCAGGGAGCTGCCGGGAGCACCGCAGGCAGAGCCAACCCAGGCAGGGATGACCCGTCTGCCTCCCAGCGTTGCCCTGCCCTGCTCCTGCCCTCGCTGCTGGGCGGGGACAGCGTGGCTGCCGTACCTATGGGTAGGGTGCACCTTCCTTTGGCATTCAGCTCCTCCAGCAGGATGGTCATGATGGGAACCAGCTTCTGTTTACTCTCCTCGTTGGAGATGAAGCCACTTTCCAGCTAAAGAGAGCAGAAAATCGAGTCAGCTCCTCCCCATAGGATTACTGGCTAGAGGAACCGCACGTCTCTGATCCCGTCGTCCCTCAAACTCAAGTAATACCAGCACAATACTCTCCTCACTGTAAACCTGACCCCTGCCTGAGCAACACCCAGTGACCCACAATGTGCACCAGGACACCAGTGACTCTGTGGGGTGGATCTCAAGGCAGCCAGCCTGCCCTCGTGTCGGCTTGGGCCTCACCTCAAGGGTGGTGAGGTAGCCAGCCAGCTTCTTCACTATGGGCTCCAGTGCACAGGCCTTGGCTCTGGCATCGCACACAAAGCCCAAGTTGAAGAGCAGAGCGTTTCGGCTGTACTTCTTGTGCTCGATACACACAGGGCAGCCGATCAGCTTCTTCTCCATGGCTGTCCTGCAGGAAGACAAGTATAACCTGCACCTATGCCCTCAGGGAGGCCTGAGCCCCGCACAAGGCTAGCTCCCAGTTGGCCCTGGGGGTGGGGGCTTCTCTGCTTTGCAGGAAAAATGATGTGTAATCCCCAAATGCTCACAGTGCAAGATACACAGTCTGAATGGGGGGG